GTTAAAACTTTTTCTCAAAAAACGGTTAAATTTTTTTAAAATGTTTGCACGAATATATGGAAATTCGCTTAAAAATGGAACTGGTCCGTTTGTCAATAAAAGCTCGAAAAAATTGAAAATCACAATAGTTCAAAACTTTTTCGACACCGTTCAACAATTACGTTATAAAATATTTCTTAATAAAATCTGATTCTCAACATCAAATCTATAAATCATTTTAGGTACACTTTTTAAAAACATTTTTGGTTTTAGCGAATTTTTTAATTATATCGTGACCAAAAATTGAATTTTTTTAGTCTCCAGGGCGACCTTTTGTTACGTTTTTCAAAAGAAAGGTAGAGTGTTAGTAGGATAAAGTTGCAATATTACAATAGCATTTCACCTTCAAAATTAATACGAAAATGTGCAATAGCCAAGTGTGAAGTAGCACCAGTAATTTTATTGTGTAATTGGGTGAAAATGCATTTATTAGTAAAGTGATTGAAAATTTTGTTAAATATTTTAAATAACAATATTAACTAAAATAACATAACTCCTCACTAGACATAACATCAGTACAAAAGTGGGGACGGGGGAGGGTGGATCGCTCGGGTGACACCAACCATAATACTTTCTTAGAAAAATATTATTTACAACTTTTTATCTCTAATTGTTCATTCCGAATCAATGTCGATTTTTACTTTTCGCCCCTGCGAAATTGTCGATTTTTACTTTTCGAGTAAACGTATTAGAATCACCTCAGCAAAAGCATCTCTAATTTATTTCGTAAATTTCGTGTTCGAGATTAACTTGAATTTTTTATTATTATTATTATTATTATTATTATTATTATTATTATTATTATTATTATTATTTTAAGGTCGCTTTTCAACATCTTGGTCACATAGCGACCACAGTGATTTTTAACCTTTACGGGGAACTGAAGGGAGAACACGTTACGACAACATAAACACACATGCATAAACATCCATGCCCGAGGCGGGATTCGAATCCGCAACCCTTCGAACCGAGTCAGCTAGGGCCCTTCAGCTTTAACGACCTCGGCTAGCCAGACCCAGCCCTCTTGAACTTTAACTTCGCAGATACGCCTGTGTAAAGGTCCGTTAGTGCTGTTCCGAAGATGGCTGAAGTTGGTGCAGGTGGCGAGGCGATTCTCTTACAACTAATTTCGTACCCGATAATCGGGATGCTCTCTGCATGGATGGATGTGTCACGAATAAGGCTGTCAACTTACAAGCTTTTGAGCGGAACCTTGGTAAGTATGTCAGGGGCAGGACCTAGTGGTGCCGTTTCAAAGATGAGTGCGGTATTTGAATTTTGGGGGTACTTTATATGAAGCCCCTGTGACATTTTCTGTGGCTACAAATGTTTTCTTTAAATTGTTCGAATAGGGGCAGTACAAGGCCAAACTCTGTCCAACACTTTTTAAGTTCATTCACTTCGTTGTCTCTGTTCAATTTAAAACCAAGTCACGGTTTCGTTCAAAATTACCCGAAAAATCATCATTTCCAAAATCTATACATAACATTAATTAAGATTAATTTTGAAGAACATACCATTTCATTATGAAAATATATCTTCAATGAATAGAGGGCAGAGGGGTACAAATTTTTAACTTAATGCAGTGTTGGAAATTTCAGAGGGTTTAGTGAAACTCGGCTCTCCACCGTTTGTATAAGTACACTTTTCTTTATTCGAGAAAAAATAAAGAAATTATTTTAAATTAACAAACAATAGTATCAGTTGATTATCAAGTATTTCTGAAAATAATGAATATAAATATCTATGATAATTAACAGGCTTTACAAATAAAACGAGATAACTAAAATAGGTACGACACAACCATTAACGAGTGACACTGTCTGTAGCGATGCCACAGCATTTCGATGATTCAGAACAGACACTCTAGGTAAAATAGTTTAGGCTGAATGGAGGGAAGTAATTGCACCTAGTGAGTGTGTTGAATTTTTTGAGCGCCTGAAAGCTTCTCCGCTCTCAACGCCCCTTCACTGCCCTATAATTGCCATTGGATCTGCCATTCACAATTTTGACACATCAGCGCCGGAAATAGGCAGACTGAAATTTCCCGAACTGCTATATTCCGCCCGATGATGAAGTGCTATTTTCTGAAACTACTCACAGAAAACCGAAAAAAATCAAAGGTCCTCAAGAAGCATACATGGTGTGATATGGGGGCAAAAAGTAAATATTGATGAAGAATGGATTTGGGGGTAACAAGGAGTGGCTGTATTCTCGTGATGGTCTCGACCGCATCAAAACAAAAACATGTGTGGGAGCAAATATTTCAATGGACAGTGAATAAAATAGCCACATACTGCCGGCCCACAGCAAAGGGAGAAATTGCACACAAAGAAATCGTTAGTACTGTGCACGAAGTGCCAGATTTGCCTTTAGAAGTTTGAGGATCAATATTTTAATCGCTAAATTGGTTTTGCCACTATGAATGAAGGGCGGACATTTGCATAGATTGGAGAACACAGAAACATATTATTACAAATTAATTAATTAATTAATAATCCGAGGGTGTCATGCTCCTGAGGCCATAAGTTCCGTAAGTGTAGTGCCTATTGTATGTCGGAGGTAGCGATGTTTCTCCCCCGCTGGAAATGAGATCCGGAGCCAACCTGTACGTCGGCTGGCTGTTTTCTAACTCCAGGTATCTCCCCCTAGCGAGACACACCCTAGCCGGGAAAAGCTCCAACCTCTTGTCTAGTCTTCCAACTTGTGTGGTAGTGGAGTGGAGTTAAATGTGTGTGTAAGGGAAGAGGAAGACAAAAGGGCAAAAGGAGAGCTCGTGCTGCTGTGATTAAGTATCAATTCAAGATTCGCGGCAGATATTGGTGCGCTTCGAGAAATCGGTACCCTATTATGTTACGGATTATATTAACAGGTGAACAAGAGGACACGCTAATACCTATGAACTTTAAAAAGCAATTACAGGAACGCAAACACTCCTACTGGACTCGGGAAAATCTTGTAACAGAGTGAGATTTCAGAGAAACGAGAGGGAAAGAGGAAGTCGCGAAGTAGAGCGGTTTATTTCGGATAGACATGCGAATATAAAACGGCAAGATATTCGAGCAGGGGCGTCCACTGGCGTGTGCCAAAAATTAACACTTGTGTAGCATGAGGATGTGAAAGTTACGTCCATTCAGTCAGAAGGGAGACAAGGATTACTCGCGGCGGGAAGGGGGAGGGGGAGGCGGAAGGGCGGGGAATGAATTAGACTCGCTGCACCACATCGAAAAATCAAAAAATGTTCAAGAATGAAGTAAGACCAAATATCATACTAATAATAATTTTCTCGTAATCATAGAAATTACTTTAAAACGTTGATTTTTTTTTCAAAATATTCTAAAATTATATTTCTGAATCCATTTTTTCAAAACAATATTACTGTGGAAATCAATTAGAAACTATGGATCATTTTTACTTCAATCAGTTCTAAGTGTAATAATCCTTATTATTTTAAATTTAAAAAAAAATTTGTTCGAGAGTGAAAATATTGAGTTATTGTGGATCAGAATCTTTGTCAAAGCTTTCGCTCAAGCTACGTTTTAACGTCTTAACCAACTAAACTCTTCGACGTTGTCGGATTTATATCATAAAAATTAATTAAATTTGTGAATCATCGAAAAAGGAATTTTCTGTGTATGATGCTTTGCTTGATGCTTGATGATGCTTTTTTATTCCGTCCCAAAGAACGAACCGTTTCGCGTTAATTACGTTATAATAGTAATTCCTCATTTGTGACAGAAAAACGTATTTTTACAAACTGTTAATAATTGATAGAAAAAATATATAAAGATAAAATATAAATAAATGATAATGAGCTTCTATAATATGTTTATAGTATTTTGGTTGTTAACTAAAAACATTTTAAATGTTACATTAATTCTCAACATTAATCTTTATATCTTAAAATACAATAAAAGCTTACGTTTTCCTGAAATGATTCAACGAATTTCCCGAATTAGATATATATGAGATCAAGTACTCTTCATATCTTCCAATGGCAAATCCAAAAAATTTCTAACGAAGCGGAGGCTATCGTTTTAAAATACGGCCTATATTTTGGGAGGTGAAAAGGAAATTGTTTTTAGTTTAGTTTAATGAAATACTTGTATAAGAGGGAAATGGAAATTACTATAGTGGTGAAGAGGAAGTAATAAATGTTGAAGTGGTTATTAAAAATAGAATTATCGAGAGTCAGTTCACGTACTCCCGGCGCAATGTTTGTACAAGGCTTACCTCATACTTGTTAACCACACGTCGACGTCGCCCCGTGAATGATCTGAAGTGAAAATTATGATTTATATGCAATTGCCGAAACAGATTCACTTTTCCCAATCATTCACTAGATTCTCGATTGTATATTCTACACATGGCGATAACTTTTTTAAGAACTGTAATGAGATTGGCAATTATCACAATAATACAAGAACATTTTAATTTAATCGAGTGCCAACATTTCAAGTCGTCAAGTAAACACGAAATTGCTTCAATTTAGTTTTGTAACTTTTGTTGTTTATTCTGAAAACATCTCTAATTATACCTACATTTTACAACTTGAAACTGTCACTTCTTTCTACAAACTTTATATACGTTATTTCAATGTAATATTCGGATGTTGCCCACAGACGTGCTACAGGCATCCAAACTTTGCGTACTAACGGATTACTGCAGATGTGGCTGTAACAACAGGTTCCATGTATTCGGAGGAATGCGGCGTAAAGAGCAGTGGGTGTGCAGTGGCAGGTGCACGCTACCTCGCCGTGGCCCGCGGAAGCGGTGAATCCGCACGGCATGACAAGGCGGGGCGTGACGGCCGGAGAGGGCCGGATCGGAACGAAACGGGCTGCGGAGGCAGGAGGGAGTGGCAACGTGCAAGAGGGCTGTTTCTGTGCTCCCGCCGGATTTGCATACTGCACACGGCATCTCGCACGAAGCGCTGCCGATCTGTCGAGACCAGGACTTACTTGCAGCAGCGCAATGACGAGTCTGGTTTCTCCGCTTTGCAGGGAAATGGTGCTAATGGTGGTGGTGGAGCCAGCATGCTTTTGTGGCATCTGGCTGCCTGTGCTGGGCTCGATCGCGCTAGGACTTGTTTCTGCATCAGCCATTGTCGGCACGGTGCTCGCCTTCGCTGCCCACGATCTTCGCTTGTCACGCGGTCTCGGACAGTGTTGACAAACGCGTGACTATGTGATCGCTGAAAAAACGTCCTCTCCTCCCCGCGACCGCTCCGCTTGCCGGCTAGACCCGCACTTGTAGGCAGCGTCGTGCACGCCCGCCGAGGCGCCGTTCCCCTGCTTCCCGCTGCCCGCTGCCCCCGCTCTCACCCGGCCGACTAGACGCCTTCGGCCGCGTTCGGGATCCCTCGGTATGCCTCGGCAGGGCAAGCAACAGCCGAACCGACGGCCGGAATAGTAACAGGATACTATTTGCCGCAGCAACTCAGCGCATGTTTAAAAAGGAACCAATTTTAGAAGTATTAACTGAGGGCGTAATATTGGCTTTCCTTTGGATTAACGAAACTCGCGGAGGACATGTGAAAATGGCCAGAGGCAAGTTAAGCAAGCCTTTTCTCACTTTGGATTTTACTAGAATTATTCAAATGCAAGTGAAAAGTTTCTCCTCCTCAGAACGCCTGATATAAACTGGTAATTCGCTTTATAAATTAAGAGACTCGGAAGAATTTAAGAAATTAAGAAAACAATGAATCACCTTTAATCCTCTGCGATATTACCTCTTCGGGTTTATAAATGTTATGTAAACGCAGTTTCACGTTTACAATCTATTAAATACCACCAACAAACGATGTCAAGGTCTTTCACTTCTTTGAAATGTGACGTAATGCGGTTTCCATTGCTTCAGTCTATAATGTTCATTCATCGACAGAGCAGGATTAATACAATCTGGGATCCTAAGCACGGATATACTATGGGACCCGTAATAATAATGTATTGAATATGTAATAAATGCAAATAACTATGAAATAAAATTATAATCAATTCAACTTTACATTGGAAGAATAATAATAATAATAATAATAATAATAATAATAATAATAATAATAATAATAATAATAATAATAAAGAACTTTAAAATAATGTATTTCATTTGTATTCCGGAATAATTCACGACATGATGCAAATTCTTTCACGAGCTTCAATACCTTGGTTCAATCTTCTCTATGATTGCAATTTTATTTTGAACAGATTCCTCTCTATTTCCATCCGAGAAAATCTTAATTAAAGCTGTGCAACTATTTTAATTTGTTTTGAGCTTGTAGCCTTGACTCTGTTTATTATAAAAACGATAGATGGATTCAGAAAGTATTTCAGGAGAGGGCGTAACTTCACCCCCTTAATTATTTTTTAAATGCCAAAAAAATTGGAAATCGATACGATCAAAGTGTGAGAATTTTTTGAAAATAAATTGAATAAATTTACAAGAAATGAACTTGTGTATGGCCCTGTATTCACCACTGAGTGTGTATATAAAGTCTAGTCACATTAATGTGACAATCTGTATCACCAAAATCATTAATAACCTTCTTTTCCCGCGCTGACTGCCGCGAGACGTGCAGCAAGAGAGTCAATTAGGTTCTGGGTGTTACCCACAAGGAGGTGGAGCCATGTCGACGCCAGTGCCGTGGCCAGCTGCGCTAGATTCTTCGGTTGCGGCCCGAACAACCCAATCGGGAGTGTTTCATCGGTTGTACACAGATTCCCTATTTTGTTTAAATCGTGGGAATTTGCGACCAGGGGAGTACTGTTAACTCATTCTGGTGCTCTTCGAACCATGCACGTACACTGCGAGCTCTACGACACATTTCATTATCCCGCTGGTAGATGGCATATTGAGAAGGCATAAAGAAAGTCTCGGCAAAACGTTTAAGAACTATTTCTACAATTGTTAAATAGATCGTTCAAAGGTGCAGTAAATGCCTTCGTTAAATGATTGACAGATTGATGTATCCGGGTACGTCAACTGTTATGGTCATTAATCCCGTTAGTGTGGTGAATGTGTTTTAACTCCGGGATGTAACGCTGTTCCACCCTCTCTGGATGGTGAGATTCGGCGCTGGCCCACTCGCAGGCATGGAGGTTTCCCTCCTCGAGGCATCTTCCCCTGCGGGGCATCGCCTCAGCCTGGACAAGCTCTGCGCCCCTGACTGATCTCCCGACACATGTGCTAGTGTTGTACAATAAGTGTACGTGTAAATAAGGGAGAGGAGAGGACAAGGGCGAAAAAGAGATAGCTCGCGGGCCGTGGACCTTTTCTTAGGGTACTACTCCCACATTCGCCTGGTGTTGACAGGAGAAACCACAGAAAATACCAATCTGAGCAACCGGGCGCCAGAGTTGTCCTCCGGGCAGCGGTTGAAATCGACCTACCATGTATCTAGTACCGAAAATCCGCTACAGCCGGGTAGAACCCCAGGTCCTCGCGGACAGAGTCGCTGGAGTCTCAGCAGCAATGCTGGCTGTGAGCCGAACTCGGCCAGTTGTGGGCCTTCATTCTCGCAATCACCATCGAAGGAGCCAACCATTCGAAAAGTTGGTGCGTTTTTGTAAGAACTCCCATATGTATAATGCATGTTTTATCGCTGGAGATGACGGTGAATGGCGGGATCCGGCGCCGACCTACCCGACGGCTTCCGGGGTTTTCCCCGACAAGCTATCTCCTACCAGCGTGGCACCGCCCCTAGCCGGGACAAGCTCGTATCTCCTGATCGGTCTCCCGGCGTGTGTTCCTGTAGTGCATGTGAGTGTATGGCATGAGGATAGGACAAGGAAGAGGTAGGAAAGATCGCGAGCTTTCCATGGCCGTTTGTTAGGGTACTGCTCCGGCATTCGCCTGATGTTGATCGGAGAAACTACGGGAAACTACCGATCAGAGCAGCCGGCCGCTAGAATTCTCCTCCAGACAGCAACTGAATTCTACCTAGCTAACAAGGTAGTGTCGAAAATCCTGCCACCGTCGGGACTCGAACCTTGTCAGAGAAACACTAACAGTGGAGGATATCTAAAGTGTGCCGGGTGGAAGCGGAAAACAGTTCAGTAGTTGTCGCACTGCAGAAACGGAGCGAGTTATCGGACGTCCAAAAGTGCATGATCATTGGCTGTCAGGCCAAGGGAGGATGCATTTCAAAAACGACCAACTTTGCAAAGTGTTTGCGTGCCGACGTGGTTAAAGTATCCCGTGCATCGCAAAATGGCGATTTCCAAACCGAGTGCCGAGACGACTGTGGTGCACCACGGGCAGTGGCAGATTTTCAGAGGAGGCAAGGGAGGCCAATCCTCCCCACAAAATTGATTAACACCAAATGTTTTGTTGAAACGTAACGATGCATCAGTAGTTTGACGCTCGTCAGAAATGACAATCGCCAAGATAGATTTGACGTGTGTTGGTGAAATAGAGCTGCATTCATAGAATAATAGAACTGAATATATATCTTCAGTTCTATGCGTTACATATGGCGTGTTGCGGTCATAGGCCGTAGGGCCTCTGTGATTGCGATGTATCCATTGTGTGACAGACGTAGTATTTCAGTGGACACAAAAAATCTCTATTGGAAGTGCCGTTTTCGCGGAGAAGTGATCCTAAAAGCAGAGAAATATTAAATCTAATTCTTTTGTTTGGAATGTCGCCAATAACAATTTTCCAATAAACCAAAGGTCATTGACTTTCAATTTCTCAATATGATTCTGGGCCTCAATTTGTCTGAACCTCCCCAAGATTTGAAGCATTCCTTGGGTGATCTCGTCATTCTGGAAGGCACAATGGAGCAACAGAAGAAAGTATTCAGACATCCTGGGGATCATGTCCACCCCTATATACAGGTCGGTTTTCCTCCGCAAGACTTTTGAGTGACTTAACTTTGAGTGTCTCTATTAGTGAATGACTTAACTTTGTCTATTAGCACAGAGAACAATGTGAAATCAGTTGTCTGACTACCACCGTGTAAGATGAATGTAACCATTTCGAGCAACGCTTCGTCATCAAGATAGACGTTCTCTGTGCAAGAAATGCCCAAGTATATCTCATGAAATTGGTGGAAGCTGGTGGGAATAATGCTTTTCCTTACCAGGCAGTCGCGAAATGGCCTGGAGTGTTTCGGGAAAGACGCATAGCAATCTTAGATTTTTGCTAAAAAATAAACATATTTGTTATTATTTTTGTAATGTACATATGATTTTATTGTTTCCTCTAGGCCTTGGAGGGGGGGGGCATGTTCCCCCTGGATCCACCGTTGAAATTCCCAATAAGTTTAGTAAAGAGTGCAAGAAAGTAGTTTTGCAGTTCATCATCATCTTCCTTTACGTATTAGGCATATTGCCTGTTCCAGCCTCTTTCCATATCATTCTTCGCCTTCCAATGTTTCTCTTCCCTCTCAGCTTATAATTCAGAGCTTGTACTGGAAGTCTACCTTGCGGCATATTTCCAACATGGGTCACCCATTGCTGTCTGTACTTCTTAATTTTGTCATGTACTATTTCTTTCCGCTCTAGTTCCTCTCGTATTTTCTCCCTTTGTATTTGGTCTCTTAATGTATAGCCCTTTACTCGTCTCCAAAATCTCATTTCTGCTGATTCAATCCTAAAATTTTCAGCAGTTAAAATGTATTAATACTACAATTTTTCCAGAAAACCTTCGATAAAAATGTTAAAGACAGTATCAAGCTTCTGGGTAAGGACGGTAGTATGATGTGTTCCTTCTATAGATTGCCCTCTAGGGGACGTTAGTCAAACAAAATGACAACTAAAATACCATATGAGGGAGTATGTCATCAAAATTAGTAAATCAGCGTCCAAATTCAATTCTTTATCTAAACTTAGATTGAACCTATCGCACGGTTTTGATTTTGAAAATCCGAACTTATTAGACAATGAGTTTGGAAACTATTCTAGACTTATATCGGAATCGCTACAGATTAATATCATTATCGCGGTTAACTCGAACGTAGAGACCAACATATTTACAATAATGTGATTGTGCAGTTACTAAGACATCTACCACGTGTAGTGAGCATCTACGTTTTGTGAGTCCTTGATAACGAAAAATCGATTGACGACAAAACGTCTATCAGTCCGTTTGTCCATCCGTGAGTAGTAAACGGAAGCGCCTAAATCGTTCTGCCGATTTTTACCAAAATTGATATTCTCTGGTCGACTTAAATGATATTCTAGGTCCTCCAAGTTTGA